CCGGAAATTACATCATCTAAATCTAAAAACAAAGGATTCAGCCAAGTATAAGTAAATAAAGAAATAAATAAATTAACAGGCGAGTTTGCGAATAAGCAAGAGTCATTTAACTGTCATATTAATGTACGTGTTGTAGTGATAAGTGTGAACGGTTATCAAAGAAATGGTGCCACAATAAACCAAAACCATGTTGTACGTGTGCATTTGATCACTTCCCTGTGCTCTTCTGAGTTAAGGTCCTGTATGCGATCCTGAGGATAGAACTCCTTGCCCTACCTACTGGCTAGCATAAAAAAAACCCTGAGAAATTAAAGAGTGCTACAACAAGGAGAAGACGAGCGACGCTGCAACAGGTAAGGTGAGGCTGGAAGTTGCATCGCATCGCACAACAAGAGGAACGGTGAGAGAAGAGAGGGCACCTAACAGTGATTCTCGAGAAGCTCTAGACGGAAACAGGTGAAGTAAGAAAAGGGCGGGCATAGAATCAAAGGCCCAGGATGACAACTTCCAGGAAGTAAAGAGACGTAAGAGGCATATCAACTAATGATACCTCAGAGACAACCACGAAGACGACCAAATCAATCCCAACATCCACAGCTGTCAAGCAGGCTCCAAAAGCAGTGCCAACTCACAACTTCTTCGCACCCCTCATAGCTAATGACATGGACATGGAGACAACTGGAACAGAGAACATTGAGCAGGAGGCTCCCAGAAAATCAGGTAGGCCACCACCAATAGTGATGACTTCTACCACAAACCTAATTCGACTCCAAAGGGACCTAAAAGAACATGTCAAAGGAGAGTACGAATTCTGAAACACACGAAATGGAACTCGTATTATAACAAGAGACATGACGGACTATTCAGCCATGAAATCCTACCTGGAGACAAATAATCTCCAGTATTTCATCTTCTCTCCAAATTCTGAAAAGCCTATCAAGGCAGTAATTCGCCACCTTCCCCTAGACACGTCAGCAGAAGATATTTCCAACAGCCTTGAGGGCTTAGGCTTCAATGTCATAAATGTGAGGCAATTGACGACCAATCGAAGAGCATTAAAGGACAGACCTACGTGGAAACTCAACTGCTCTTCCTTGTTACCTTAACAAGAAATGTAAAATCTCAAGAGATATTCAAACTGAATAGCTTTAACCATATAATTATTATGGTAGAATCATACAGAGCTCAAAATGGCCTTACACAGTGCTACAATTGCCAAAACTTTGGTCATGTCTGGGCCAACTGCAAGCAACCCCCAAGATGTTTGTGGTGGGTTGTACACAATGCTGGTGACTACATTGAAGGACAGTAAAACTTCGAAACATGCGTCTATTTTGTATCAGATGTAAATAAATAGTTGCCACTATTAAAGTTCCAACCCTCGTAAAGTGAAAGTTATAGTATAAAACAAGATTAAAATTCTTCAAGTGATGCTTTACATCATCGAGTCAGTCGTTGGTTTTTGTGATTTTGTTGTGTTCCCACAGACAAATTGGAGTATTCTATATTTTGTGTATATATAATAAACTGTTTTGGAGGCTCGTGATGTGGATGTAGTAATATTAATGTTAATTTTTAGTCGGTGCCTCATCTTATAAAGTACTGTCCATTCTGTAGGGAATGTAAACAATGTTTACATTGTTACATCGTTGTTTACATTCCCTACAATACTTTGTAAGATGAGGCACGGACTATATAAATAACATTAATATTACTACTTCCACATCACAAGCCTCCAAATCAGTTTGTTATATATACACAAAACATAGAATACTCCAATTTGTCCGTGGGAACAGAACAAAATCGCAAAAACCAATAACTGACTTGATGATGTAAAGTATCACTTGAAGAATGTTAGTCTTGTTTTATACTATAACTTTCGTTTTATATAGCCTAATTTATTGTACTTTTATGCCAAATATTTTAATATAATTAATATTATTGTATCCAATCTTACTAGTACTGCAGTTCAGTGGTGTATATATTGTGACGTATTTGCGCTATGCAGGACACCCCCTACCCCGCCAGCAGTGACATAACACTTTCGGAGCATTGCCATTGCTACGGTAATATGCCAGTCAACACCCCACCCCCTTCCGTGGTGACGTGACCAAGGGATGCCGCGGTTGATATGCAGAAGTAAACAACTCCCGACAGCGTTGCTAGGCTATCTGCAAACATGGCGTCAGGCAACAACGGTACCTATCATGTAACTGTTTACTGTCATGTCCGTGCCGAGGCTAAATAAGGAGCACCAAACACAATTCAGAGTCAGTTGAGTTGATTTGAGTTGAAATGTAGCCGTCACCAGAGACAGTTGAATTGGAACAGTCACCAAGTTCAGTTGTAGCGGAAAGAAGAATACTGGAATGTGTGATTAGAAGTCATAACATGAGAAGCAGATGCTTGGCTCACAAGAGAAATAATTAGGAGTGTGTGATACAGTGACACTTGTATAACTCCCATATCCTACTGTGAATACGTGTAGACTACTGAGGATAGAGTGAATTGATTAGTGTGGAGGGTTTGTAAATTGTGTAAACCCGTAACTTTTTATGTAATTAATTGTAGCCAAGACTTGCAGGTTGTTAAACAAACCAATTAACAATCTGAACAGCATCAGTAGCAAAACACATTACAATATGTTGGCCATGATTTGCCTGATGATGGCTGTTGGTAGCCAAAACATGTTGCAGAGCAAAAATTGGCACAGACCTTAATATACGTAGGTCGTACCGAAAGTCATGAGCAACTTTTTTTTGCATGCAACCTGGGAACAAAAGGCGAAAGAGAGTACGGTGGTAGGTGGAACCAACTGTTGTGTTAACCTTGAGTGTCTTGTGACGTCAATAGCTTGCATCACGTGACCAGTATCACTCCTAACAAAATGGCTGACGATGTCGTTTCGCCAGCGTGCTGTCATCGAATTTCGTGTGAAAGAGGAAATCCCTGCTGCAGAAATTCACCAGAGCCTTCAGCGTGCTTATGGAAGTGTGTGCATGAGTGCGAGCAGTGTTCAAAGATGGGTGAAACATTTTAAATATGGGAATACCAGCATCAAAGATGAGCCTCGGAGTGGTCGTCCTCAAATAGCCTCAACTGAACACAACAAGAAAAGGGTGGATGAGATCATTCAAGATGACAGGTGCGTGACTGTGGACACAATAGCCCGAAAACTTGAAACAGGGCACAGTGCAGTACAGGAGATGATTGAAAGCTTGGGCTATAGGAAAGTTTGTATTTGTTGGGTCCTGTGGTTATTGACCGAAGACCATAAGGGTCAGCGAAAAGCCATCACCTCAGAACTACTGCAGAAATATTGAAACTAAGGCGATAATTTTTTGCTCTGTACTGTGACAGATGATGAAAGCTAGTTTCACCATTTCGAGCCTGAAACAAAATGGCAGAGTATGGAATGGAACCATTTGCATTCTCCATCAAAAAAGAAGGCAAAGACAGTGCCATCAGCTGCGAAGGTGATGGGCACAGTCAGCTCCGTCGTGCGTTGCATGATAAACATCCGGGATGAAACACCATCATCCTGCATGACAATGCTCAGCCCTATGCTGCTTGCATCACATTGGAAGCAACTGCAAAGATGGGGTGGAAAGTTCTTCCACACCTCTCCTATAGCCCTCATCTGGCACCCTCCGACTACCGTCTTTTCAGATTTGTGAAGGATCAGCAGCGTGGACAACGTTTTGAGACAAGGGAGGCAATTCAGAAAGCAGTGTGTCAGTGTCTTTGGATGGCTGGAACAGAATTTTACAGAAGGGGAATTTTCAAACTCCCAGAACGCTGGGAGAAATGTGTACAAAAAAGTGGCGATTATGTGTAAATATAAAGAAAGGTCTGTAGATTCAAGTGGTGTATTTGGTTTGTTAAAAATAAAGCATGTTACTTTACAAAAAAACTGTTGCTCAGGACTTTCAGTATGATCCTCATAGTTGTGTTGTGACAGATTTAATAAATAAATTGTAAGTTACTTAATAAACATGAAGAAAAAAGTATGATTGCTGCTAAACTTACTGTGAATGTAGAATTGAACACACTGGGAGAAGGTTCATCTTGTATGGGTAGAGGAGGGATGGCAAGCCTGTCCCTCAAGACTGCCACAACAGTATCCACTACACTCTGCACTGAGGAGCAATAACGCTCCCATATCAGACGACCCTGACGTCGTAATGATAGTAGGTCTGAATCCGAAATGGAGCGAAGGAAAAAATGCATCTCTGTGATTCGTGCCTGTAACAAAGGACTGAATGAACCATGAATTATGAACTTCTGCAAGAGAAAGACTTAACTTACAATAGGGTGTTTCCATGTCAAAGTGGATGTCTTCCCCTTTGTAAATAGGTAGAGACAAGACAAGAAAAATCACACCACTCCTGTTATCTTCAGTCACACAATTTGCAAGAAGAAAACAATCTTTTCTGAAGTCATCAAAACAGATATAAGAAAGTTAAATACACATATAAATGAAATACATTCAAATGAACTGAATCTATTTCCACAATGTTCTGTTCTTTAGTTTTTTTTAGAATACCATACAACGGACAAAGTCTAAAAACCGAATAATCCTGAGTGTTACACACCATTGTCAGAACCCTTGACAATCTACACGGACAACTCTCCCTTTATGTTTCCTAAACTTTGTATTACTGCAATAATATAGAAAAATTAAAACAGTTTACCATGTTCTAGATCATATCAGAATTAATGCATACAAAGTTGTTGCAACAAAGAAATAGTCAGCATGGAAATGATAATGCAAAAAAGGCAAAATATGAAATATTTGCTTTACTGTAATTTGCATTCATTGATTATCTTATGCATGAAATATAACTACATTATAGCTCAGTCAGCCTCTGTGGTCTAGGGGTCAGAGTTCCTGGCTACAAATCCAGAGGTCTAGGTTCGATTCCTGGTACTACCAGATTTTCTGAGAAGTGGTGGGTCTGGAATGGAATCCACTCAGCCTCATGCGGATAACTGAAGAGCTATTTCAAGGAAATAGCAGCTCCGGTCTAGAAAACCAAAATTAACAGCCATGGGGATTCATTGCACTGACCACGTAACACCCTCTATCCGCTAAAGTTGGCACTAACTTCACTGACAAGCAGTGGCTGCTTGGTCAGTATAGTTCGCTTGTGGACTAAGACCACAGAGTCTGTTTTGTTTGTGAGAGAATGAAACAAAAATTGCATTTCATATAAGATGGATGCATCTTCTTAATCATATATACTTACAGTTTCTGCTCTGGTATGAGGTATGGCTAGAAAGTTACAGGAATCCCTGCAGTGGAATACTGCTGTCACGTCCTGCCTCAAACTGTCAGTACATAACATGCTCCTTGCACTACTGCTGAGCAGTTGTGTATTTATGGTGTGTCTCACAGTACTAAATTTCATGAAAGTCCTTTCTGCTTCAACAGTATAAACATGTCCAATAATTTTTTGAACACTGTAGTATTCTAAAATATTTGGTGAAAAAAACAGCCATCAGAGGTTAAAAGTTGTTTGAAGAAGTTTACAGGAAGTCTGCAATGTTGAAGGGACAAGTTCCTGAGTGGCATACACAATTTTCTGTTGGAAGAGATGTCAGTGATCATTCTCACATGGGTTGGCGAACATCAGTGTAACCGATTAAAATGTTGAAAGACTGGGGCAACTTATTCACATGAAACAAAGAATGACTGTCAAATTGATATCAGAAGAACTGAGGCTGGATGAAAGAGACTGTTCAACAAATTTGTAAGTGGGTATTGCATCAAGGCAATACATTGACTCACAATGAAATACCAGAAAGGCAATTTCTAATGCAAAATTGGATTGATGGAACTTCATCTCTATTCTCCCAATCTGACTCTGTGTGATCTCTTTCTATTCTAAACTATAAAATTCCCTGAAAGGGACACACTTTTGTATTGCTGGAAATGGTCCAGCAGCATAAGTCACACACACAAAAAGTGACACTGGAAGATGGGTTCCAGAAGTGCTTTAAAATGAGACAGAAAAGAACAGTATTGTGTACAGTTGCCAAAAAGAAAACTACTTTGAAGAGGAAAACACAAATTAATTGGTACACCGAGTTTAAACTTATTTATAAATCACCATTGGAACTTTCTTGCCATACCTCTTACACATGAACCCAGACAACCATTTCAACTCCATTGTTTAATATAACAATTCAAGCAGGTAAGAAAGGGAAGATACTGGCAACAGACCTCCTCAAATTTCATAACAAAAAAGGAGAAAGATTTCTGTTTTTTCTCTCCTGTCATGAGTACACATCTGGCCTTTCTCACCCACTTTGATGACAGTAATGAAGCTGTAACACACCTTTGGGAGGAACAAAGCAGCTCTGTGCCAGTCTACAACTTCCCCATATGCCATCTCGAGTCGATCTCCTCCAAGCAAAACAGGTATTGCACCAGCTCTAATTGCTTCATACACACGTATCTGCACCACAGTTGTTGATACCACGCTGATATTTTTGGGAGCCATTACCAGTGCAAATGTTGAATCCTTCAAAACATTTGTTCGAGAGGACTCTGTTCCACATAGGGCCCATTCCCCCCATGAATCTGGAACCTTCCTTGCGTTGGGCAGCCAATCACCTGTATTTAACTTTTTAAATGTCTCTTCAGTGTTTGGTAAACTGACTGATAGGGAGCACTCAAAATGAAAGAGAAATCGGTCTGATGTTGATCCATATGCCATTCCCTGCAAGTGTTCCATTATAAATCTGTCAACATCATCATCAGCATCACTAACACCAGTTTTTCTTTTTGATTCAGCTATATAATCTTCCCGGTCCTCATTCAGATCTGCATCGTCCACATTATCAACAGTTTGAACAAGATTCTTTACTGTAGCTTCCTTTGTTGTGGCTAGATTTGATGAATAACGGAATTCCCCTTGAAATGAAAGGAGGTATCGCCGCCGGGCAGGCAACATGGATGGACAGTCTTGCCATATGTCTCCTCCTGGAGGACCCAAAATGGGTGGAGTTACAACATCAAAACTGTGACGAAACGTGGCTCGCATAAATGTTGACTGAATGAGAATGGCTCGTCCAGTATCAACACCAAGAAATATGTCACGGCCGCCAGTTGATGTATCCCTGCTGTCATGGATACTACTACTGCGTGCAAAATTGAGAAGAACATGATTTCGTCCATCCCCTCCCCAATATGGAAGATTGTGTAAAAGTTTTTCTTGGAGGGTTTTTGCAGGTACTTTAGTGCTGTTGATCTGAGTATTCTGTCTCCTTGGTACAGTTAATGCTTCACCAATTAAAACTAAATATATACATGCAACTTTTGGATCAGAAGTGAAATGCGGATTATAACCCAGAGTCTGTTTCAGAGTGGTTTTGACAAAACCCTCAATTTCCCAGCCTGGTGCAACGACTGGGTAATGGTCAGGATCATAAAGGAAGACAGGGAAACCAGAAGTAAGTGAACACCGGGAATAATCAAAGCAATTATACATGCGGCAAGAATGACTCTCTGTTCGTTTCTGTGGGAGAAATTTTTCTGGGGCAGAAGATGGCAGCAGTCTCCGAGGAAGAGCTAGGTCAGGAGTGTTTCTCTGAAGGGCTTCCCTCTGAGCAACTTGGGCCTACACAGAACATGAAACACTAATTAGGACACTTAACAGAGAAGATTCACTATTAATCCTAATAAATAATAAAAATAAAAATAGCCAAATAGAACTCAATAATTCATGCTAAATATGTACACTAAAATGTTATTTAATATTACATATTTTCTGTTCTTTTCTCTTTACTTTTCTTTCCCTTTTTTACTTTCTTCAGTAGCCCAGGAAAGCAGTGTGTACACACATTTCATCCATGGTGAGGCTTAATACTCCTACATTTGTGAGAGGAATGTTCTATCTCAATTAGTTTCCGGATGCATAGTACCAAACAAATTTATATGAACTCAAAATAATACATATTCGAGCAGGCTATTTTCTGTTAATATTTTTTCAATTTATACTTTTGCAATAAATAATTTATTTTTATTAAAGGCAGTTCAATACTGTCTTGCTATCTTACATTCTCTGTTCCAGGAAAATATCTGAAGGAAGGTAAGTTTCATTTAATACACATTTTACTGCATATACATAGTTTAATTCAGGTTTCATTGTATGGTTTACCCTCAATTCTGCATGCTTAACTGAAAATTTACTTAAAACTAAATTAATTTCTATGTTTTAAAAAATTGTATGAATTCTCATTAATGTGAGATTCACATTAATCAAAAAACGTACAGATCAGGGAATACCTGTACAAGAACGATCAAGGAACTACAGTTAAATGTGCAAAATCTGTTTCAATAATTAATAACCCTGCAATAACATACCTGTTCAACTGAAATTTTCAGTCGCTCAAGTTCTGTTTGCTGATGAATTAGTTCCAGCTTCAGCTCATCAATACGTTGTGTGAATCCAACCACCTCTAATTGCAACCGCTGTCTCTTGGCCTCAAGATCTCGGAGTTCTGCACTAACCGATCCTGGAAATGAAAATAAAGAAAACCATACACACAACAGACATTTACATGAAATAGTTACACCTCTTGATACTGAATGAAGCAAAAAGTATGCTGAATACTACAGAGAATTCAAGTGAAATGGATATATAGCAACACAAAGAACAGAGTGGATTACTTTTTCTTTGATCATAGCTAAAGTTATTAATATACTGAGTCATTCATTCAGTCAACAAACATACTATGATTGGTATCGTAGTGAATGGTCTTCTTGCTCAGATCTTTCAGTCTTGAGATCTGAATTCTTTCCTCCTGCAGTGAGGTAGGTATATAATTCAACAGAAAGTTTTTATAGTTGAATTCATCATAAGGAAGAAAACTTACAAAAAGTGGATCTTGGGTTTCACTTTTAAATATCCACATGATGTTCCCACAAAGTCATGCGTATTGAAGCTCGTCAAAAAGCACCAAACATTCAGTTTGTGACAACAGAGACATTATGCGACATATGTGCTAACTGAAGAAAAAGTTCAGGCAATTCAGGCATAGTTAGAGCATGGTATTCACAAATGTTAAGACACTTGCCACAAGAAATCAGTGCTTCAATGGGACATGCATTCACAGCCACAAAACTATTTAAACTTCACATATATAAAATAAGAGTTATACAAGAGTTTAAACAACCAGATTATGCAGCAAGAACTCATTTTTGTAATTACATACCGCAAAATGTAAGTTGTGGATCCATAGCTGATGTTTGTAACTGATGAGATGTGATTTCTCCTTAGCGATCATGTCAGTATACAATATAGAGATATAGTGTGAGGAAAGTCATCATGTCATTCAACAAGTATCATTGCACAATGTACAGACAGGGGTGTGGTGTGTTACATGGGTGCATGAAAATCATTAGCCTGATAATTTTCAAGAAAACTATGAAATCAGATCACTATTCAAGAAATACACTGAACCCATTCTTCAACCAACTGACAGCTGCAAAAAGACAATGTGGGTATTTCCAGCAAAATAACCCATGCACTGCCAAAGCTTTCTGGAATGAAATAACATGTGTACCTGCATCCATTTCACAGGATAAACTTCAGAATATGTGGAAGAGTTGTTTATGCACTGTGATCCATGTTTGAAGGCAAAAGAGGTCACTTCCACATTTCTTATAAAATATTGTGGAGTGTTATATGTCATCCATCACTGAGTAACAAAACAATGGAAACTGTTGAGACCGTTGCATAGGAATATCCATAGTAATGAGTGTTCATTGCGTAACGCTTTGTAAACATCCCTCCCCGCTAAGCTGTGACATCACGCAACAGGGGAGTCCATGCAGCAACTGTTGCTAGGCAATCAGTAAATACACTTTCTGTGTGGTCAGGGCGGAAGCTACATAACGAGAATACTCGTCAGTGTTGATTCAGAACTGAAGCAGTTACAAATTATGAGTAGTTGAAATGTAGCAGCCACTGAAGCCAGCTAGCACTGGGTAGTCAGTTGAAGTCTAGCAGTTACGAGTTGTTGTTGATTCAGTACTGAAGCAGTTACATATTATGAGTAGATGAAATGTAGCAGACACTGAAGCCAGCTAGCACTGGGTAGTCAGTTGAAGTCTAGCAGTTACGAGTTGTTGTTGATTCAGTACTGAAGCAGTTACATATTATGAGTAGATGAAATGTAGCAGACACTGAAGCCAGCTAGCACTGGGTAGTCAGTTGAAGTCTAGCAGTTACGAGTTGTTGAGACGTATCGAGTGAATGGAATCAAGACAGTGGAAGCCTGGAAATGACTACAGCAGAAGAAGTAAGTGGGGCAATGAAATTGTGAACTGTGTAAATGTAAGAGTGAGTGTACAATAAATTCTCTACATCAGAACCAGTGTGAAGTTATTTGTCGTGTCACATACAGCAACACATGACAATATGATATGTGCCACCATTTTACAATAATGAGTTTTAATGTACCCATATTAAAGTAATTATCCAGCTTCACTGAGCTCTGAACAAAAGTCCCACCACTCAGCCATAGCATGTGGTTTAGGAAGTCTAATAAATCAGTATCACAATACAAATATGTGAAACTGAGAAAGGAAAGGCAAAATACACTACAGATCTTCTCTAGTTGTCCTTCACCTGCAGCCGGTATAAGAGCATGCTCCTACGGAACCTTCGAAGACTTGTCCATTCTGTACGTAGGGTGACACTTGAAACCTCTCCTCCAATAGTCCTCAACCACAGGGTACTCCAACTTGTATGACTGCTTCTTTCCAGATCCCAAGAACCAGTGTCCTTCCAAATTTCACACTCAACCCTTTCCTTCCTATAGCCCTCCTTTCAAGAGGTGAATGGTGTACCGTGTGGCACAGAATGATGCTGAATGGTGCAGAGTGGTGTCATAAAATTTTCTATACATGAAAGTATAATATCCAAAACTGTCCACTTACCTAATCTCTCTATGCCCCAGATATGAACTGCCTTACAAACTTTCGTTACACTTGTAAATTCATTATGTACATGTAAATCACTATTTCAGTGCATGCACCTTGCAGGAAATCTGATGTGAGACTAAAATACCTCATAAACTGACAAATGATACACATAGTGACATAGTGGCCTCTTCATGGAGAGACAATTAAGTCATATTATGTTCTGATCGTCCCTTGTAACCACTAGAAAAATGAAATTAATATAATTCATGATGAAATAGATAAAGATGTCTTTGTGCCATAGTAATACATGCAGAAATAAAGCTCTGTGCATTCTAGACTTGCCAATCTATGATTATAATACAAACAAGAAAGCAAGAGAAAAGTACCTTTAATCCTCAACATTTCTTCTATGCGGAGTTTCAGGTCAGACGCTTTGAGAGTGCTAAAGTCTTCAAAAGCCTCCAGCTTGGATCGTGTGCGATGGACATCTCCATTTGGCACATTGCTTTCAACCTATTTACATATTAGTTACAAATGTAATCATAAAAATAATCAGACATGATTCTTAATCAATGTTAAAGGATTCAAGGGGGCACTGGCATTTAAGTGACAAATTTCAGCTCTGCTTGTATCCCTAGCAAAACAGACCGAACCACCTCTAACGATCAGCTGTTCACAGACATTTAATATGACACTCTTAAGTGCTGACACCACTCAATACTTTGGTGAGTAATAGCACTAACACATAAACAATGACAGACTCCCATTTTTTTCCCTTCTTTCATACTGAAGTGAACTCTGACAAGGTTTATTAATCATGATTAAACTGGAGTCTAAACACAGATTTTACATTGGCACCAGGATGTGTTACAAAGATTACCTTAACAAAGTTGCATATGTTCTGAAGATACATGACAAAGCCAAGTTACACTTCAAAACTTTCTGTGGAACTCAATTTCCCACAGACACAATCTTATAAATGGTAATTGGTCTAAAAGTAAAAGCAGAGAAATCTAAGTATATGTTGATGTCTCATCACCAGACTGCAGTAGAAAGTCAAGGTATAAGGAGAGCTGCTAGACCTTCTGAAAATGTGGTGAAGTTGAAATACTTGGAAATGAGAGTAACAGATTAGAATTTGATTACAGAAGAATAAAATCACAGAATACACTCTACTATTCATTTCAGATATTGTGTCTTTAAGTCCATTATCACTCACTTGCTCATAGAACTGAGCCCTTCTTGAGAAGCTGCCAACCGTGCAGCTACTCAAGAACTTCCCAGTATTTTATGGAACCTGAAGGTTCATTACTGTGTTCACAAGGGCCCTCAACTGGTCCCTGTCCTGAGCCAGATTGATCCAGTCCATACCATCCCATCCTGTCTCTCTAAAATTCATCTTAATATTGTTCACCCACCCATGCCTTGATCTTCCTAGTGGTCTCTTTCCTTCTGGCTTTCCCAACAATATAGTATATGCATTCCGCCTCTCCCCTATTCATGCTACATATCTTGCATAGTCTATCTAAAAACATAAAGATTAAAATATATAAAACCATAATTTTTGCCTGAAATTTTGTGCAAGTGTGAAGCTTAGCTTCTCACATTATAGAATGATCACAGACTGTGAGCATTTGACAAGATTTTGACAGGAATATTTGGACCTGAAAGGATAAAGTATCAAGAGTCTGGAGGAAACTACATAATGGCCAGCTTCATCATCTGTACCCCATGCCAAATATAATTTGAATGATCAAATCAAGGTTGATGATATGAACAGGGTACACACAACATATGAGAGATAAGAAAAGTGCATACAGAGTTTTGGAAGGAAATCCTGAATGAAAGAGACCACAAGGGAGACAAATATTTAGAGGGACACTACAAAAATTTATCTTAAAGAAAGAGGATGTGAAGGTGTGGAATGGACTCATCTGTCTCAGGACAGGGACCAGCAGCTGATTCCTTTGAGTACAGTGATGAACATTTGAATTTCACACAACATTGGGAACTTTTGAGTGGCTTAGCAATTACTGGTTTCTCAAAGATTCTGCTCCATGCAATTAGTTTGTTACTTTGAGATTATACAGTGTAACTGTCAATGAGAGAAGAGTGGTGAATTGGGAAGTATGAGAGAAAAACTGGTAACAAATTTGGTAAAAGCCTCGAAAACCAGCACACCCATTCTCCTTAGATTTGATGGTCCTCTCAAATATAAAATAGATAATGTTTCATCACGGTCCTTTTTTACATTTACCTTTAAATAAGGTATACAGTAACTATGGCGAGTGAGTTTGGATTTTTTGTGACCGGCTATGATTTAAAAAATGTTATTTTTAACAGAAGCAATGTAAGGAAACAACATCTTTGTAATATAAACGATAGATATATACCTTTGACAAGTAGTAATGTGTAATAAGTGGAACGATGATCAGCACAAGAGAGACTAACACGATGATACGTGACAACTTCACATGGCTCAGCCAGTGACAGAACACCTCCTTACTGCCAAGGCCATTGTACGATGATGCACCACCCAAGTCCAGTGTCATTTTGCATTAGGATGACATTACTTCATACATCTGCCTTGCATTCCACTTCATGATTTTAGTCACTGCTGTGTTACCGCATAGGCTATCACAACATAACCTTCAAGACCAAAACCTTGAACATCACCAAACCTTAAAATTACATGTATGGCAAACATTCCAGCAATTAAAGAAAACAGGGAATGTTTACCATCTTACTTTATATCTCCTTTTGTGTTTGCGACCACACAACAATACTCTCGTGTTAATTTCCATTGCGAAAACAAAACAACAATTCCCAATTCCAAATTTCTTCTCACTTGTTTCAAGAGGAGCTTGAAAATTGCCATACTTATCGATTCTTTCTCCGTTTGATGTTCTATGTGGATCGATAAATGACCCACTCTACCGCACTCTACATTAAAATATTCTTAATAGATAACAGAACGACAGTGTACAAGTAGGCACTCTATATGCTCTATATATATCGATGTATATCGATGACATCGAGGGCTGGATTCATTGTGGGTCGAGAGGAGAGGAGTCTGCGATATTTGGATTATTATTTATATTCATTGTTGATAGTGATTCTTCGAAAACTGAAGTGAGTGAACCCTCAATAACACTGACATCATCCACGTACCTCATACAGTTGCAGAAGCAACTGAAAAACGTCGTCAAGGGCGTCTTAGAGTTCCGTCACACAAGAAACTGAACCAGGGTCGTTACAAGAGGCATGGCGGTTTTCGAAGCCATCAAGTCACATTTCACCAAAAATAAACTAGCCTATTATTCCTTTTTCCCGGAATCCCAGAAGCCCTTTAAGGCAGTAATCCGACACCTCCCCATCAATACCACCCCTCAGGACATTTCAGAAGGTCTGGAAAACTTGGACTTCGACGTTGTTAGCGTCAAGCAAATGACAACAACCCTCGGATCCCAACCTGAAGAAGCAACAACCAGGAACTTCCCCTTGTTCCTGATAACCTTGCCGCGGACGGCAAAATCACAGGAAATATTCAATCTGCCAAGCCTTTGACATATATCAATCAAGGTAGCAAAGGTAAAACCACTTCATAAAAAGGGAGACAAGAAGGATATGAAAAATTAAGAGACCAATATCCCTTTTGTGTGCTTTCTTGAAAATCTTGGGAAAGTTGGTGCATAATAGGTTACTCTCCTTTTTGACAAGAAATGCCATTAAACAGAGGCCCAACATGGATTTAGGTTGAATAGGTCGACTGAGACTGCAATTTACTCTTTTCTAGCAAACATACAGGTATCAGTTGAGAAAAAAGAAAAACAGGTTGGAATTTTTTGTGATTTAACCAAAGCATATGATGCCATAAATCATGACACCTTACTTTCTAAATTACAAACATATGGGGTTACAGGTGTGGCAAACTAATGGTTTAAATTGTATTTGGCTTACTGGAAGCAAGTTGTTGAAATAAGTTGTGATGGCAAAAAATATACATCAGCCCCAAGAGAAATTAAATGTGGAGTACCACAGGGTTCAGTGCTTGGACCATTATTATTTTTATTATACATAAATGATCTGCCTCTGAATATCAATGAGGCGAGGATAGTTTTGTTTGCAGATATAAATATTTTGGTAACAGCTAAAAAGGACATATCCTGCAGCAAAAGATATATAAAGTCATGAATGAGTTATATGGATGGTTCAATGCAAATAATCATATTGAATACTGAGGAAACAATAGCAATGCCATTTCATAATAGACAAGAAAGAGATTTGGTGAAACCTCAAATCAAATTTGGCAAAATGGAGATTTCCTATAAATGTGAAAGAAAATTTCTGGGTATACATGTTGGCGAGCATATGGAGTGGAAAAGCACATATGATGTTCTTAAGCTCAAAATTTCATAAAGTTTGTTACATGATAAAATCCCTTAGGGATGTAACAAGCCGACAGGTTATAAGGAGTATTTACTTTGCTCACTTCCGTGCTTATTTGAAGTATGGTTTAATTTTCTGCGGTAGCAACCCAAAAAGTAAAATTATATTTATATTGCAGAAACGAATTGTTAGAGTAATTAGTGGTGTGAGTAGATTAGCATCATGTAGACAACTTTTTAAGGATTTAAACTTACTTCCACTACCTTGTATGTATATATTTGGAATAGTGTGCCATGTTAAACTATATTTAGAAAAGTTAGAACAAAATGACATAGTTCATAATCACAATACATGCCAGAAATTAAATCTCCATGCTCAGTTTTGGAGAACATATGCCTATAAGAAAGGAGTACTGAACATGAGAATAGAATTATACAATAAAATACCAAATAAAATTAGGGAGATAGAAAAAATGAGACAGTTTAAAAAAGTAATGAGGTCCTATTTGGTACAACATACGTTTTATTCTGTAGAGGAATATATGTTAAATTAAAGATGGTATGTTTGTGAAAGGGGGGTATTTATTTTTAATTATAGAAATTGAACTATTGTATGTTTAATGTGTATGGAATGCTTTCCTATGACAGTGATTTGACGAGGAAGGAAGAATGGATTGGTTAATTGATTGATTGATGTGAAATGGATTGAATTGGTTACTCTGTTGGGGAATTTATGTTGTCTTAAATTTTTAATATAGTTTTATATGGTATGTTGGACATGTACACAATTTGTGTATGTAGTTAAATATTATAGTATTGTTGACTTTTATACAAATAATTTGACTTGTTCTATATCTGGAGGCTGTATTGCAAAATGTGGATTTCTCAATATGAATATGAAGGTGGAGGTGTATAGAGCTCAGACTGGACTTACACAATGTCATAACTGTCAACAGTTTGGCCATGTCTAGGCTAACTGTAAACAACCTCCTCACTGTTTGTGGTGCAGAGGCGGCCACCTGCATAATGAATGCCCAGAGAAGGGAAATGCTGCTTCCACTCCATCATGCTGCAACTGCCGGCTGGCGGAGGGGGAGAAGCCACATCCTGCCAATTATCAGGGTTGCAGACATGCCAGGGAAGAGCTACAAAAAAGGAAGGAGAAGAGAACACCAAGGGTGTTCTCATCGAACCTCGTCACCGAAGGCTTGTTCTTCACGTCGGCACTACAAGACAACACAGAATAACGACCACAGGCAAACCGCGCCCCAATGGTTTGCCCTTCAGTAACAAAACAACAAAATGTACTGGCCCCTGCACTGCAGAAAGAAACAGGTCAGTCAGTTCAGACTCCACAAGTAATCAGTCATCCTCAACAATATTTTGCGGGTGGTGACTGCAGTACAGCAGATCATGACAGAGTTCAGTGGTGCAGTATCTGAGGAGGACAAAATAGTGGCAGTAGCAAAAATTTTACTAAATGTAATGAAACTAAATGGCCACTAGAGTTCATAGGCCACTCAAAGTCATAGCATTTAATGCGAAAGGCATTGGGAGGCAGCACTATGAGCTCAGTAAACAGCTGCAATATCTACACGTAGATGTGACCATGTTTTCAAAGCACATCTGAAACACCATGAGAGGTTCTTTACTCCAAATTACCACTTTTATAGAACCGACCGCTACCTGGGCATAAAATGCAGAACTGCCGTTGCAGTTAGAAAAGGTATTCCCCATAACCATGTAGACGTACCACCCCTTGTTTCAGCAGAAGCGACAGGGGTCTGCATACCTATTTGTAATAGTGAAATGCTACTTGTAACTGTTTACAAATCTCAGGCAGGGCTTGGAGTGATGCTGACATCACTGAGCTCTTAGGCTTTAGACGTAAGTCTATTTTGGCAGGTGATTTGAATGCTAAACACCCATTTTGGAATAGCAGAGTCTCAAACTCCTCAGGTGAGAAACTCATGGATTTGTTTGATATGAGTGATTCGAAATTTCAGCACCGCAGTGCGCCACTCATTATTCCACTGCAGGAAATGGTGACGTGCTGGACATTATGGTCCACCAAAATATCAGAGTATTAGATGTCATCATCTCTGATATTTTGGATTCAGATCACTTACCAGTAGTATTCCACATACTGGATCACGTTAAAATTAGGAATCTTTCAGAACCTATTGTTGTATTGTATTGTATTTATTACATGTTCCAGCACATCCATACAAGGCCGAAGCCATTAGATACGGAACCTGTCACACCACAAACTTGCTAAATCAGCAAGTAGTCAACAGAAAATTTGAAAAATGTACAGATTGGGAGCGGTTTCAAAGCCTCACTTCTGACTTAATATCGCCTAGAATCGAAATTAAATCGGGTAGAAGCAGATAAAACGGCGCGTGAATTTACAGCTTCGGCATATAGGTTGTCGACAAATAAAGTTATGCTTTCGGACATAACGATCTCCCTGGTCTAGATCGTTTGTTAAAACATAAGCAGAGGCTACAAAAACTGTTGCAAGAAACCAGTGATGCAGCGTGTAAAACAGCAGTCAACTGAGTCACAAAATCAATCAGACGAATTACCCGAAAAAAAAGACGCTTGAACGGTGGGAAACGAAGATAGGTAATGCTGAAGTCACACCTCAAGGTATATGGCCCATTGCGAAATCCCTCTTCAAGAGGGATGTACCAAGGGCACCAACTGCTATTCTTGGTGCTTCAGGCCTTAAATTTCATCCTTTCGAAAAAGCCAACGAAATTGCCAACTGTTTGGAAATTCAGTTCACGCCGCATGACCTGTATGATGAAAACCATGAAGGGCGGGTGGAGGCTAGTTCAGGCTCTGCTTGAAACCATAGAGGACAACCCCCCTCAAAGGATCAGACCATGTGACGTACAGAAATTAATAAACTCCTTGAAATTGAAAAAGGTCTGTGGAATTGACAGTATCCCAAATGAAGCCTCAGGTACCTTCCAATGCGACTAGTGGTCACTCATTTATTCAATCATTGCCTTCGACTCTCTCATTTTCCACATACTTGGAAGAAAGCAAAAGTAATAACTTTACCTAAACCTGGTAAAGATCCGAAATTCCCGCAAAATTTGCGTCCGATTAGCCTCCTGTTCACAACGGTAAAAGTATTTGAAAAAAGTGATTTTGAAATTGCTCCCAAAACATATTGAAGAAAGAGGCCTGCTCAGCGCAAGCCAGTTTGGTTTTCGTGCACATCACAGCACGACATTGCAATGCATGAGGCTGGCGGACCATGTGACCCTTAATGTCAATAACAAAATGCCTATGGCCGCGGTGTTCTTGGACATTGAAAAAGCTTTTGATACCACGTGGAACTCAGGCTTTCTGTATAAGTTATCAAAATTGCAGTTCTCAAACAGTTAGACCAAGCTTATTGGGTCCTTTCTTTCTCAACATAAATTCAGTGTTTTGGTTGAAGGCAAATTGTCAGCGCCAAGGGAAATGCAATCAGGGGTGCCACAAGGCTCGGTCCTGTCCCCTACTCTTTTCAACTTGTACATTAATCATGCCCCCCAAACACATGGTGTCTCATAATTACTAAAGCAATCAGGATTCAGGACTTAA